TCATCCACTGAGAATTGAGAATTCAAAATGTTTAAATGCCAAAACACCATTAGGTTGTAAGCCCGGAGTAGTAAACTTGGAGTAATAAAAATTTGTCATTTCGAAGATTTGAGGTGAAAGAGTGTGATATCTTACGGTGCTCGCTCGCTAATGCTCGGCCTCGCCACTTGAATATCGTAAACACCAGATGGCGCGAATATGTTCTTCTTGACAAATGCCTCGTAGGACATGCCGGTGGTCGTTTCGATAAGATATCCTGGAAGAAGTTTATGTAATTTTTGAAACCGAAAATTTTGAAATCCAGAAGGAACAAGGGAAATGAAGTGAACTCACCCAATAGTTGATAACCGAAATTAGAGTAAATCCACATGGTTCCTGGTTTGTATTCAAGTGGAACATTGGTGAGTACGTACTCAATGAGCTCTTTGGTGGTCATGTCAGGTTGGACCCATGCGGCGTCGGATTGGAGATTATCCCAGCCACCTGGAAATGAAAACAAGAGTTTTGAAGTCAAAAGGGTTTTCGGAAGGCAAAAAGATCTATTTGGATATTGAAGGTTGTGGAATTGGGAAAAAAAGGAATGAAAAGGTGAACCGCTCAGATTGAATTAAAATAGAATATCGAATGAATCGGACTCAAAAACTAGTTTTCTGAATGAAGTAAAAGGAATGATTTCATATTATCAAAAATCAAAATTTCATTCATTCAAAATCAGTATTGGTCAACAAAGGCAAAAAATCTCAGTTTTTTAAAGCCAACAAGTTTTTCTAACAATTTACTCGGTTCTCAAATCAGAAAAAAAATACTATCGTCGTTATAAAAAACAGTTTTGCAATTTGATTCGATTTCAACGTAAAATGAGATAGAGAAGCTTCCAATAATTAATAACTCTTCCGTACGTTATTTTTATTCGCTGCATTACACCATTTTTCTAGTATCACTGAAGAATGCGGAGTACATAAATTAACTTTTCAAAGTCAAAAATATTGAAAGTGCGTCTATAGATATTCCCGTAGCATGCTGGAACGCAGAGAATCGAAATATTGGGCTGTGGAATTGCAAAATGGAAGAAGCTTCCTTATCTCATCTTACGTGGAACTCGAAATGAAATTCAGAGCAATTTTTTCGAAACAACAATATTACTTTTGGAAAAAACATTTTTCTTTTGATAAAATATGGTCCTAAGCAAGTAAATAATAGAAATAAACTCCTCATTTTCACTATGCATTCAGGAAGATTCAAGACATGCATCCCTTGCTCACATAGAACTATTGTTTACAGATCAATTATGTTTTCCGTTCTCCCTCATATAGTATTTTTCGCAACTTCCTTTCTCACTCACCCGATGTGTGTTCCAACAAATGACGAACGGTGATTTCCGTAACATATCTTGGATATTGATACTTTTTGCTAAACTCGCTGCCAAATATCGACTCTTTTCCAAACAGTTTCGAGTCAAGCGTGAAGTGTCCTTTATCAATAAGCAACATGATTGCCGACGCGGTGACTGGTTTTGATACAGAGCCCACTCTATAATACTTTTTTGTTATTGGTACAAAAAAACTCTCTATAAAATATTCTCAAGTATCTGTATCTGTATCAAAACTGTGAATCAAACCGGAATTGATGATTTGGAGTGACGGGCTCTTGTTGTCGAATGTCGGTGTAGCCGAAACCTGGAAAATTGATACATTCATGAACGTTTTTGAATGGGCGCCCCACTTGATGTTTATCTACATGACGTTGACTCTGAGGAAATAGTCTAAATTTTCAAGAAGTATCGAATTACTTCTCATTGGAACGTTTTTTTTTCTGGTGTTGATCATGAATAAGTGTACTCTAGTCTAATAATTTTGAAATATTTTCTTGATGTTCATTTTGTTTTGGAAATTCATAAATTCGAAACTTAAAGAACATGTTTTTTGATTCTCTAACAAAAGTGCAATTTGATTAGTCATAATTATTGCTCAGCTCAACTGCCCTGCAACAGAAAGAAAATACAAGAACAATTCCTTGTTACATTTTTCTCACATATACCTAATCCAATTGTTCGTACAATAAGAACCACCAAAACCCAGAAAAAGCCAGTTTAGCACCTCCGTCCCAGAAGGAGAAAGAACAAACGGGAAGAGTTTTTGATACAATGAACAAACAAACCTGCCGCGAATTTGAGTTGCTCTTTTTTGGCGATCGCTATCGACAAACCGGGAATATTGAGATCTTTCATAAAGTGTTCAACTCGTTTGATCAAAAACTCCATTTGATCATCCGATAAGAGTTCTGGAGATCCTTTCAGAAAACGGACAGGGATAGGTCTGAAAACTAAAAATTAGGAGAGAAATGGGAGAAAAATCTTACGTTTCATCCCAAAGTGGTGGTGGATTCGGATACCTATTCACATCAACATCACTCCAGAGGACAACATAAACAATCTGAAAAACTTTTTCAGAGAAGAATTTTAATATGATAACTCACATTTTGATAATTATCAAAATAATGTGACATTTGACGTGGGATCATGTTAGGGTTGCGTTGCATATTCCTGAAAAAAATTGAAGTTGAAAAAATGTTGTCGAATTTGAAGCACCCACCTATACATAGTTTCAAGATTCTGTCCAACCTGCACACTACTTCTTCCATTTCTATTCTCCCAAATTCCAGTACACAAAACTTGATTTTTGTTGTTGAACACTCTCAATGAAGTTGCTACAAAACCTTTTTGGGTCAACAATCTATCTTTTTGCATGCAAGCTTCCATAGTCAATCCATAATGTGCTTCGTACTGTGCTTCAGATTTTGTAGGCTTCTGCCATACTCCCACATATTTTCCTTTTCCAGCTTCAGTATAACCACAGAGATAAGTTAGTCGGTACCCATTATTCTCAAAGTGTGTTTTCTGCTCATCCGCGTGAGGCTGACCTGGGAACCAAATCTGTAACAGAAACTAATTTCAAAACAGTTCAAAACTTGTAAAATCTTACATGGAACTCTACTCCTGGTACTCGTTCCCAGTAGGTTGTGAACGTGATCTCTCCAGGTTTTCCTTCCTGACCACAAACTTGGGTTAATGCCAAATCTCTCGCTTCATTCTCCCGGACAGCTTTGATCAGCTCATCAAACGTCATTGGAGCAGGTTTAATGAACACAGGTCCTAAAAACCGTTTTGAAATAGGAAAACGGATATTTTCACTAAAGTTTACCTGAATATTTGTGCATGATAGCATAATAATTGACATCTTGACCTCTCAAATAATATCCCATCGAGACGAGCCTCCCACCATATTGTAGAGAAATCGCTAGAACATTATCCACCAAACTCTCATTTCCAGCGGTTAACACCCAATCTTTCTCATTAGGGGCTGGAGGATGCACAGTTTGAAGTGGTGGGAGTCGGTTACCAGGCATCATTCCACCAGGCATATTGGGTCCACCTTGCATTTCACCTTGCATTCCAACTGAAAATCTAATTATAGTCTAACTGTATTTTTTCAATAAACTCACAATCTGCTGCAGAATCAACTGGAGATGCGGCTGCTCCATCTGGCACCGGTGTTTGATAAGCTGGTGCAGAAGCTTGTGGCTTTTTATGCTTTCGTGCCAATGCTTTGTCTACTACTCGTTCGGGTGCTGTGTAAGGGTATCTGAAATTGATGAAGTTTATGATGGGGGAACCAAAAAGAGAAAACGTACGCATTGATTCGTTTGCCGGTAGTGAAACCATGAAAGTGTGAATTTAGATCGAGTTGTTCTCCAGAACATGTCTGAAAAACGGAAGTAGAAATAGAGAAAATTAGATTATCTTGCAAAATTTCCAACTACTTATGAATTCTAAAATTAGCAAATTCAACAAATTTAGTCTGGTCAGGAGAGTTCATATGAAAAGTTTTGAATTGACAAGCAAAATGATTGAGAAAATGTTACAAAACCAGAAGTTGCAATTGAAAATACTGATAAAAATAACCTGGATAGTGAAAAATACAAGAAGCAGCACTCCGATGGTTGGTGATAACGGCATGAGTAGCAGCCGCATTCTCGTGAAAACCGAATGGTGAAGCGACTGAGCCAAAGCAACACACGTTGAGCCGCCGCGCCGTCTTTATGCCAAAGACCGCACCCGATGCCGCGCGGCGTCCGCACGGTAGGCGGACGGTACGGTTCTCGCAGGCAACACACGTAAATCGCAAACAAACATGACAAAACATAGAGACCCCTACAAACAGACACAGTCAGTGAAGAAAGAGAAACAGAATCACAATGAACGAGATGGTAGAAGGGGGAAAAGGGGGAATCACCGATTTTTCGAGCTTATGAACTTTTTTCAAGAGCTTGTTTTGGTGTGCTCTATGATCATCTTTTTAGATTTTGTTTCACAAAAAAAAAGATGGATTCGAAACAATTGATACAAACATGTAGAAAGTAAAAAACCTGGAATGCTAAGACTAAAATCGAGATGATAAACTCAAAAAATTGGAGTATTTGTAGCAGTCTGTTCTGAAATAACCTAGTTTGCAAACGGTTTCAGAGAAAATCTGTATTCTGTCAAAATTTTTTTCGGAAACCATAATTTGAGTGATCCAATTCTTTTAGAATTTTTTGAGAGTTCCGTTCTTATCAAGTTTCACACATTGTTGCAGCTGAAACTTTCAAACTGATCTTTACGCTATGCCACCTGACCCTATTGTCCATCTCCGCCAAAAAACGAGTGATTTATCTTTCTCTTTCCATCCTTCTCCAACCTTTCCCCACAGAACCACATCTGCACTTGTTTCCCATTGAATTCTGCATCCACACACACACATACATCTCCTCCCTTCCCATCTAATAACCTACATAGTTGTATGCTGTTCGTTCTTTGTGTGGTCTCAATTCCATTTTGTCTTTCTTCCCCTCCTCTTCTTTTCTCGTTTTATATGGAGGTGGCCGAACGAGAGAGTGCGCGTGCGGTCAATGAGAAAAGAAAATGTGGTAGATAACAGGCGTCCCGACTAGTAATTCGCGTCAGCACGATGGCCGAGTGGTTAAGGCGTTGGACTTAAGTTCCAATGGTGGATAACACCGCGTGGGTTCGAACCCCACTCGTGCTATGACATTTTTTTTTGTTTTTTTAGTTTATTATTTCATGAATAGAAGGTTATTAGCACAATTTACTATAAGAAAAAACTGAAAAAAGCAAAAACAAAGACTAGTCAAAAATTATAAATACTGTGGTAATAAAAATGGTTTCATAATTTTGTACAATTGTTAACACATAACTCGAAAGAAACGTTGATGAATATAAATTGCTTGCAACATATTTTCATGGTTTCGTAAGTCTGTAAACTTCATCAATATCCAGTTTCCTTTGATTTATTCGATTTTTCTTCAAATTGGTACGAAATAAGAAGACTCCCTTGTAGGCTTTGTTACATTGAAGGCACTTGTTACACTTGTCCGTTATTTCTAGATAACCTTGTAATTAAACTCATTCATTCGGATTACAATTTTTGTGCATTAAAACTGCAGTTCAATTTTTAACAAAATCCACCCAAATCCTCAGACAATATGCTCTTGCTTCACTTGAAATTCCTCCTCAAACATTGTATCAACATTTTTGATCTGTGTGGTACACGTTTATACCTTTTGACAGCTCCTACGCAAAAGTGCACTTTTTTCATTCTTCAATGTATCAAACTAACACTCTCTAGACACCCCTTTCCCTTTCTTCCCCAAAAAAAAACTCCTGGATTTCTTAGATGTTTATTTTGGCGGCGGCTCATTGAGCTTGAACGATTTGCAAGCAAACAGGGGGAGAGACACGTACAATGAAAAAACAGGGAAATCGCAGCGGCGATCATCATACGGTCATCACAGTATGTGTGGGTATCAGATTTCCAATGCATGATTCATACTCAGGTACTACCCCATTTTACATGAAATCTTTTCATTTTCAAATAGAGAGAAGTGTTTACATTTTATGACGTAAAAAGATAAATCGACAGGAAATCTGGTAAAATTGAAGAAAGAAGGGACGATTGAAAAAATACTGATACTTATAAAAAGGGTCTCAAATCTAAACGGACAGAATTCAGAATTCGTAGCTTGTTGCAAAAGAGAATTGCAAAGATTGCTGATGAGATCAAATCACAGGACGGTGGAAATTATATATGAAAAAAGAAAATGTGGTAGGGAAAAACTGGGTACATAACAGACGATTTATTGCAGTCATAGTTGGAGGATGGCGGAGTCTTCAAGGTCCTCTAGCACAGTTTCGCGGGTTCTGGACACCACGATACCTCTGAAATCGAAAGATTTTGAAATGAGAACATCGGGATTCATGAAAAACTTCTTATCGAAGCTTAAACTAAAAAAAAAGAAATAAAGAACAAAAAACACACTTTCGTATATCGGCCATTGCCATGAGCTGCTCTCCATTCTCCGTTGGGAGGTCATCAAACATATCGTCCTCCTCGGCCCATCTGTTAAAAAAATAAAAGTTATGACATCAAATATTTCCCTTGATAATTCCGAATTCTTCAGATTGATTTTTGATGTGTAACATGTGGGGTCACGAGAGAACTTTTTGCTACTCGCTCTTGCTGCTGAGCTTAGCTTCAGGCGTTTCCGAGTCATCCACTATTTATAGAAAAAAAAGACGAACTAACCTGTTGTAGTGTTTGTTTGGCACGCTGATGTAGAAGCCCATGCGGTTGGAGGAACTGTAACTGAGAAAAGGATTAGAAATGGGATGGAAAATTCATATATTATTTTTTCGAAATTCGGTTCAGTGTTGAAGATTTTCACTTATGTAACGATTCTATAATCGGTACTGCCGGTAATTAACAGAACAGTTCAATGGGGTACTTTCAGAAAATTTCGATACCAAAATTTATTATTGGAAAACAATCTGATCTTTCCTGTATCTTAGATTTCTCACCGTTCACCTAATGAATTTATCAAACTTACGCGCAACAGACGATGAAAATAGCAAAAGCAATCATGAAGACGACAAAGAATAGAAGAGCAATCTCCAATGCACTCCAGGAGTAGTTGGTAGCATTGACATCAACTGGAATAACTTTTCTGATACGATCAGGGACATTGAATGCAGGCATGTTACAACCCTATTCTAAAACCGGAAGGGCACCTCGTCCTTCCCAAAACAAAAAAAGCCGCCGCTCCCAAAACACTTGTGCTAAACCCCTCCCCATTCTTTGGGGCCATCCATTTAAATTCAATGGATCTTCTCAAGTGTTTCTTTATAGTGGAAGGCTTTGTTGGTACACTCACACTGGCAGAATGGACCATGGAACGTTGGCGGACATACACAACGGTAGGAGCCGGTGGAGTTGGAGCATGTTCCGTTGTTCAAGCAGTGGGTTGAGATGCAAGAGCTGAGGAAATCTGAAAAGAAAAATTGCGATTTGGAAAAAGTCGTTTTCTGTAAAGTGTTGTTGAAACATCTTTCCCAAATTAGACAGTTTTCTCATACCAGACACTCGCCCACGTACCAAAAACCCCTATTTTCTAGTGATTCAGCTTGAATTCTAATTCATTTTTCATATATTTTCATACCAGACAGGAATCCGCATAATTGAGGATATTATTCGTTCAAAAACAAAAAGCGACAACCATAATAATTTTGCGAAAAAGGAACTAAATTCTGAAGGAGTGGTGAGTAACTAGTTGTACCACAAAACCAGAACACAAAGCAAAGCATAATTTGTACCTATCCCAACTGGGATTATGATTTTCATAATGAGTTAGTTCTTGTGTATAATTTGTTTAGACTTTGTGACTAGTCCCACTTTTAATCCTTTTTACAAGTGACGAAGGCACTGAAAAGATGAAAATCTTACCGAATGAGTTAATGAAATACATACGAGATAAGGCGTACATCGTTGATCATTGCCCGGACCAGCGCCTTTTTTGCACTTTTTTTCCCACACACTCACACTCTTAACGTTTGACACATTATTTTAGATAGAAAAAATGACGTGAAAGGAACAGAAACTTGAAAAAAAAAGAAGTGAAGAAAGAGAGACCCTATAAGGTGTTAAATCAAGATTCAGGATTCCAAAAAAAATGAAGGAAGAGGATAAAGAGAAGAAAAAGAAGAATACGTGGGTGGTCTAGTGAACCAATTCTTCTTCAGACAATTCATGAATGAATTAATTACGGAAATTGCTGGCGAAAATCAGATGGAGATGGACGCAAAGAATTTTAGGATGAAAATAATAAAAGAAGAAAGAAAAATGGAGGCGGGGACAGAAGAAGGAAGAAGAAGATCATTTAGAATTTTGTTTATTGAAACAGAGTCCAACACTTTTTTTGTTCTTGTGAGAAAAGGTTTTTGGTCTGGTCTTGGTGACACTCTGAGAATTGCTAAATTTCGGGAAAATTTAGAATTCTGGAATTTGAAATTCCGAGAAAAGGAAACTTTTTTGTGTTTCTTGAACTTGATGATTTTTATTTCCTTGAACTTCATCTAATCCCAAAAATGAAAATAGGAATTTTCAAGATTCCGAGACTGCTGCTCCTTTTTGTTTGTTCAGATTTTATTTCAAAAATCTTCCTCCTCCAAACTAGAAAACATTTGCACAAATTCTCTCATTCCCTTTTTGCCTATTACTCATTTCTCTCAAGAAAAAATCATATGGAGGAGCAACAAAAAAAGAGTGAAAAGGCCTCAAATCTGGTGAAGAAAACAACGAAAATTGGGGGTAGGCGAGAGCTGGGGCGAAAAACGTCTTTCTATATCCCCGGGGACAGTTTTCTGAAAGAAAGTGCTCACACACATTCATACACACATGAAATATTCGAATTGAGAAGGGTAGGGTTCATTTTGATTTTTTTTTTGTTTGGCACTTCTCTCCTCCTTCTTTTTTTCACTTTTTGTTATATATTTCAACTAGTGACTTAAGAAGAAGAAAAGAACATTGGGAAGTTGAGCTAAGTGGAAAAAGATGGCAGGAAGGAAGAGTCGAATCCCATTCGCATCTTCATCCGATTAGTTTTTGGGGGCACCGGAAATGAGATAATGGAAAAAAGATGCTGGAGTGTGTAACGAGAAAAGAGCACGGAGCAAAAATTAGAGATGATACTGAACCTTTAATCTGCATTATGAATGGGGCAAGCGAACTTTCCAGATTGCTCTTTGCAGCAGAGACTGCTTCCTGTCAAAAATGGAATGGAAGTGATGAAAAATTCCAAAAGGATAAATGCCAGAAAATAATATTTTGAATTTGAAATCTCATCATTTTAGTGGACATTTTATTGCAAAATTTTGCAGGAAAGATCTATTGAACTCCAAAAATTTTTGAAAGTTTATATTTTCCCTAAGTAAACTTTCTATTCAAAGTTTGACCTTTTTGAAGAGCGACTTAAAAACAGAATTGGCAGTTTTGACACTGACGTTGAGAAAAGAGAACTGGAGTATGGTAGGACCCTGGTAGAACCAGTAGACAAGAAGATTTATTGTTCCCCAACATTTGTCTAGAAAGTTCTAAAAAAAATCCAGATTTATGGTCATAAATTATAAATATTCAAGAATGTCTAGACACAGTTTTTCCCCGTTCCGACATGTCCTAATAAGTGAACGCTCAATCTCAAATTCACTCGAAATTTGAGACAATAACAACACTTCCTTCTACTTTTTCACACAGTTGTCCCAAGAATTCATTCACACTAGAACTCATTAGAAAGTGACAAGGGCACGCTTGATGTTGAGATCAGATATACGTCACATGAACGGGTTCAGAGATCTTCGAAGGTTTTTTTTAGGACGAGTTAATAGTTTGCGGTAGGTGGGTAAGCAACCACACAAAACTGGAATAACGAGAATTTCTAATTTCACTATTTTCCAGATTTTTCTCTAGAGAGAATGAAGTAACAAAAAGCGCTAAACCAACAAAATACTCAGAAACGAGAATGAGTAAGAAAACTTGTTAAATATCATTCAACTATAATTATGAATCTGGGCAGAGCCTAAGAATTATTAAAAATCGTATGAAGACGTGGGAAATGAGAGTGTGATGTATAATTATTGCTTTCCGGTGAAAAAAGAAGAATGAAAAATTCGAGAAAAAGGAAGTGCAAAGATGAAATT